ATCGAAGCTTTGTTACTACTTATTATCTCACAACCTCCGTCCATGTAAGCGGGTGAATTTACCGCCTTTGCAGATTCCTTTAGTGACCGAAATCGAGAATGTTTATTCCTTGCTGATGAGTCCCAATAAGGACAAAACCGGTCCAAGAATAACGTTCTTTCGTAAGCAAGATCAAAGTTTGAATGTCCAAATATTAATTTTTATCTTTGTTGTTTTTCTTTGGATATAATTCAATATCTGTTGCGGAATTAGCCAAAAAAGTGGCATAGAGAATTTCTTTTGTTCATTTATTTTACGTTTTGGTCACATTTAAGTTTGGATGACTAGATGTTTCTGATAATGGTTTTAACTTTACTAAAGAATATGCCCGTAATCTCTAAATTATGCATGCCATAGTACTGTTGAACGATATTTCAAATACATTTGAATTCCTTTGTATTGTAGTTTTTATATGAAATAAAATACTTTTAAGATCTGAGCAATCAATATTCCCATGTAATAATTTACATGCAAAATATATATTTTTGAATATGAAAGTTCTGTTTAAATCACGTGATTAGATTTATTTGCTATAAAATATATTACAGCATTGGATTGTTGTACTCATTTCATATGAAATGGTATTTTCAATATATTTTTTTATATTTATTTAATTTTAAATAAAGTTTCAAACAAGACTATGATGTTTATTTTTAGAAATCCTTTTAAATCCATAAAAACGAAAATTAAAATTCTATTACGAATTTTTATGGTTATTAAGTTCTATTGTGTAATTAAATCCTTAAAATTTTCGAATTATGTTTAAATATGTTAATCCTATCCTGTACACTCCAATATACAATCAATGCGCAAGCGAGTGGGTCAATTCTTTTTAAAAGATGGCCGCCATCAATTCTTGTGCCTCTTGAAAATTACATTTTCTATCTCCTCTAATCCATATTCGTGGTCCACCTAGATATTAATAAATAAAAGTCTTTATATATTAATCTAGTCAGTAATTTTTTGATAGCTTAGCTGTAGTGATGAACACACAAAATTATTAAAATTCGATTTTAATTAACTCTCTAGTGTAAGTTTACTGATTTAATAAAACTAAAAATGTGAAATAAAAATTGAATATATTAGTAAAATACCAAACAAGTACCTAAAAACAGAACAAAATAGAAAAGGAGGCACCAATATAGTCATAGAATTCTGACACATAATATTAAATTTAAACATCAAATAGTATAAATTTATTCATATTAATCTAGTTTTCTTATGTCAAATGAATATGTGTAAAAATATATTGTAATAAGTTAAAAATCATAAATAATTGGCCTAAGAAGATCCACAATTTTTATCACATATGTGGTCCGACGAATCCACATTTTTCTGTAACGGATCTGTAAACAGGCAAAATATGCATTACTGGTAACCACAATCCTCATTGGATGCGAGAAGTGGTTTTGTTAGTGCAAAATTTTTGAGTGACGCTACAAAACGAGTGAATTTTAAACAATAAAAATTAGTATTAAAGCTGTGAAAATTATAATCAACTGTCGGAAGGTGTGTTTAAAGGTAAGTAGAGGGATTTATCAATATTATTTCGAGTTATGTCGCAAATAGTTGGTTATAACCTAAAATGCGTACAGTGTTGTATAGTGGGATGTTGTATAAAGGGACGTCCCACTATGCAACAGTCTATTTATTTGCCACATAAATTGTATTAAATAAATGAAAAAAGGTAGGTTACAGTGTCTCTTTTTGGTTATAGATCATGGCTAACAAAAAAGACCACGAAATGATGGCAAACTTTTTCAACGAAGTAAACTAAATCACAAGCAATACGCTGAAAAAATGAAGAGAGCTGTTTTAGCAGTTGTTAATGAAGAAATGAAAATGAGAGAAGCCTCTCGTCAATATGAGATTAGCAAATCGGCTTTTCATAGATTTGTTAAGAAATATCAAGATACCGAAGAGGATCTTAGACAAAACTTTTGCTTTGAAAGAAAACATGGGTTTTCTCAAATATTTTCAGAAGAGGAAGAAAATTTGCTCTCTAAGTACCTAATTACTGCGTCGCATATGTGTTACGGTCTATCAGCAAAAGAAACACGATCATTCGGCTACAGGTTTGCAATCGCCAATCAAAAAGAGATTCCAGAATCATGGATTGTAAATAAACGTGCAGGAGAAGAATGGTTAATATTATTTAAAGCCAGATATTAAATAAATCTACGTACACCGAAGCAACAAGCTTGAGCATTGCTACCAGTTTCAACGAACATAATGTTGGATTATTTTTTAACAACCTGCGCACAGTTATTGAAAAACATGGTTTTACTGCAAGCCAAATATATAACTGCGACGAAACTGCAGTTACAACTGTGCACAGACCTCCTAAAATAATAGCTCCATGTGGCCAAAAACAAGTAGGAAAAGTAACAAGTGCTGAAAGAGGAATTTTAGTGACCATGTGAGCTACTATCTGTGCAAACGGTACATTTGTACCGCCGTTTTTCGTTTTTTTCCGCATATGCTTAATGGCGCACCACCTGGCTCAAACAAACTTTTTAGAGTTTCTGAAGCATTTTACCGCTACAGTACGTTGTAATGAAGATAATAAAATCTTGATGATTTTAGATAACCATGAAAGCCACACTGATGTGAGAGTGTTAGAGTATTGTAAGCTTAATGGTATTGTATTGCTTACGCTGCCTCCTCATTGTAGTCACAAACTCCAACCTCTTGATGTAACTTGTTTTGGACCATTTAAGGGTTACTACAATAAGGGCTATGGACGACTGGATGTCAAACCATCCCGGTGTTCCCATTTCATTGTATAACATTGCAGAAATAGTGGGCAAATATTTTCCAAGTACCTTTACACCAAGCAATATAACAAAAGGATTCGAATGTACAGGAATATTCCCTCTAAACTCAGAAATATTTAAGGAATCTGATTTTCTTTATGCATATGTAACAGATCGAGAACATCCTAATGGAGAACATGACGAAAATCAGTCTGAAAAAGGTGGTTTGTCAAGGACTTTAGACAATACCCAACCAGTAGACATTACTCAACCAGGCTGCTCTGGAATTATAACAAGTCAGGAGATACAGATGCCACAAAAAAATTATTCAGTACCTTCTCAACTAACCTCCAAAATGGCTATCGTGATTCCAGAATCTATAAGGCCACATTTAAAGGCTCCTACTAGAAAAAATATTTCTAAAAGGAAAAAGGTTGTGTCTACGATATTAACCGAGTCGCCAGTAATTCTAGAAAAGAAGCGACTTGGGGAAGAAAAACGAATGAAAGAGGCCAAAAAAGCGCATAAAGCTGCAAAAGTGAAGGCCGTACAGGCTTTTACGAAGAGTCTATTTGCAGATTCCAGTGACACCGATGTATCAATGGAAGAACTATGCGATGACGAATCTGAAATGTCAGACGAATTCCCTGAAGATACAGGTCCTGAAATAAAGGAAAAAGATTTTATTCTTTTGTCAAGTATCCTTTAAAAACAAGAATTAAATATTTCGTTGGGCAAGTAGAGGAAATGGAAACCAATGAATTTCAGGCTATTGAATATAATGTTAATTTTTTGAAAAGAATCAATAATGAAAAATTTGTTTTTCCGGAAAAAAAAGACGAAGATTTAATTCAAGAAGAAAACATCGTCACTAAACTTCCTGAGCCATTTATGATCGGCGGCACTGAAAGAGTTTCAAAGCAGTGGCGTTTCAATTTTGACTTCTAGTCTTACAAAATAGAGTAGGTACCTAAATTTGTAAACCTGTACTTACCTGAAATAAAACTTTTTATACTTACGTAACTATATTGTTTCCTCCTTTTTCGATCATATAGCTTCCTATTTAATTTGTCCCACTATGGACGTACCAAAATCCTACTATACACAGGGGGGCTGGTGTATAGTGTGATTCTGTTGCATAGAGGGACTTGCGTTTTGTAACCGCCATGATCATATTTTGACAAATTTTAATTTATTTTAAGAAAGGCTTTTACGTTTACAATGCATTGCAATAATAAAAAAAAGGAACAATGTCAGACTAATTTTTTATAGTCAATTAAAAAATACTGTCCCTGCATACAACACCTTCCCCTATTGCAATTTGGTTTTCGCTGAATTTGATCTTCTCTACTTACTCTATTACTATTTTCTTTTCTATTTTGTTCTGTTTTTAGTTGTTTGTTTTGTTGTATTAATATATTCAATTTTTATTTCGCAATTAGTTTCATTAAACCGGTAAATTAAAACTAAACAAGTACCTAATTAAAATCAGATTTTAATATTTTTTTGTGTTAATCAGTGCAGCTAAGCTATCGAAAAATTGCTGATGTTTCAAAGCCTCAAGATTAATATATAAAGAATTTTATATATTAATATGTGGGTGGACTATTTACCATTATAGATTTTTGCTTATATTCTGTTGGGGAAAAAATAATAAGACGCGATTTTTACTGTTTCTTGTCAGAATTACATTCTCTTTCTAAATAACTTATAAAAATTATAACATTCCATTTAAAATTTTCAAGAAAACTTTGAAAAAATGGTTACTGTTTAAACAACGCCACCTAATGCTCGTTTAAACAACTGAATCACAGCTGTATTGAAATATTTCACTAAAAAATCAATTTGCTTTTAATCGATACTAAGTTTTTCAAAATCTGATAAACGACACCGTAGTTATAATAGTTTTATTTTAATAAAACTATTATAATTTAATTATAATTTATTAAGGTTGCTAATCGCCCCTACCAGTTATTTTGCTCAAAATTACCGTTCTTTTATTATTATAATACTATTATTACTGGACATTTAAAGGGGAAAAGTGATTTTTTGCATGACCGACTTTGTAACAATTTTTTTATGATTTTCATATTGATGGTGAAATAGACTGCTCCAGCCCCAAGAACCGAACCCTAAGGGCCGTGTGAAATAATTATGATTGAAAATAGAAAAACCTTTTCAAATTATTTTAAATAAGTTTTTTACCTGCAAATATGAACAGTTTTTGGACTTGTAATCTCTTCTAGAGCCTTCTAATCCATACAAGTGTCTAATTCCATAAATATAACGTTTTTCATTTTTTTGCCAGCTATGTGTACATCTTGAACAAGTACTATGTTCTTTTGAGTACAAGTGTTCCCAAAATTTGAGAGAATCTGACATAGACATACCCACACCTTTCAAATACAAACTGAATTCAAACCTAAAAGACATTTGATTATTATTAGAAATAAATGTTAATAATATTACCTTTCATTATGAGCCAGCCTATTAGTTCTTTCTAATACGTTAAATAAATTCATCATACATAAAGGAAATAATTTTGATTCCTCAAACATGTTTAACAGTGTTAAAGTTGAATTAATGTTTGAAGAAATGTTCTGATTTTTCTGAAAGTGTCCATTTCTAACAGAATTTAAGATGTTCATTATTCTTATATCTTCTAAGGCATCATTAACATAATTACTATTTCTCATTGTTTTCAATACAGTATTAAGGTAAGTTTCAAATAAACACAACAAAAATTGTAACCACATAGTGCAAGGGATTTGAACAATACCACCAATTAATTCGACTTCTCTTTTAGCTACCAATGATAAACAAAAATGAAAATGCACTAAAATAAAAAAATCAATTAATTAGGTACATTAATAATCAAGCTTACAACCAAGGAAAAAAACTACTAAACTAATCCATTCATTCATAAATAAGCCCTTATTTCTTGCAAGTATTCAAATTTTATATTTTATGTTAGGCAGACGCATTAGAAAGATCGAGACACCCGCTAAATTGAGTGGGGATAGTTTGAGAGAGCTTGTTTATCCAAGGTACAAGTATTATAAATGAACTAAGTATCGCAGGGGCAGAAGTTGGAAAGGCCTTTGGTAGGTAGAGAGGGGGTAAACGTCAAACCACGTCAGACGGCTTCAAGAATTTCGCAGTAATGTTTACCTGCCAGTGTCGTTTCATAGAATAAATTATTACTGGCGGAACTGGACAATCTCATGTATTTATGGACAATCTCATGTATTTATGGACAATCTCATATATTTATGGACTATAAATAATTATTAAACATGTATTATAATATCCAAATCATAATTCTATAAAATTTTAACAGCTATTTACAATTTATTAAACTATTTACTCGAAATTGTTATTAACATCTATAAAATAATTTTGTATGCCAATGTATCGCGTCCACTTTGGTTAGATCCGCCGCAAACCTGTCAATTTCTGTGTATTAAGTGAGATTACACAATTTTAATTCCCTAAATTAAGAATTTCTGTAATCGAGTAAAATGGATTTTTAAGCACATTTACCTTTTCTATTATCTGGTAGATTGCAGAGTTCTGCCAGACATGAGTATTAGGGTGTGTCATTTTTTAACAACTTTTTTATTTCAACTAAAAAACAAGCTAAAAACTTTCAGGAAGGTGAAAAAAGAAGCTTCTAAAAATTTGAGCTCTTAATATTAACATTTAGTGGTGCATGTTCCTAACTTTCCATTTTCCATTTAAATAACATGGAAAAAAATGTTTTTCTTATTTTTGTAGCTTGACATTTGAGCATTGTAAAAATGAACTGAAAAATTATTTTGGTAGGAAATTGAATGCTCTACAAAAAAGTTTTAATTTATTTTTTCATAGAATGAGCCGTTCTGAAGATATTATAACTTAAAGTTGCAAATGTATAAAATTGTGACTTTTTTTATGTCTTAAAAATTATTTTTAATCAGATAACTGCTTTTTTTGCGTTCATATTTTTAGAAAGCTAAAATAAAAAATTATTTTATTATTTGATTAACTGTTAAACAAAAGTAATTATGAATTAGGTTCAGTAAAATTATTATTTTATAGATTAAAAAACTTTTTAACAATTGGAATACTAAAATTTTGAAACTTAATGGAAATTATAATGTCTTATTAGAATTAAATAATGTAACTATATTTGTTGAAGTTTTTTTATTACAATTTATAAAAATATTAACGCAAAAAAACCAGATAGAATAATTTTTAAGACATAAAAAAAGTCTTCAGTATTAGTTTAATAAAATAAAAGTCACAATTTCATACATTTGCAACTTTAAGTTTGAATAGAACGGCTCACTCTAGGAAAAAATTAATTTTAACTTTTTTTGTAGAGCGTTCAATTTCCTACCAAAATAATTTTTCAGTTCATTTTTACAATGCTAAAGTGTCAAGATACCAAAATAAAAAAAAAGAATTTTTTTTTCCATGTTATTTAAATGGAAAATGGAAAGTTAGGAACATGCACCACTAAATGTTATTATTAAGAGCTCAAATTTTTAGAGGCTTCTTTTTTCACCTTCCTGAAAGTTTTTAGCCTGTTTTTTAGTTGAAAAAAAAAAGTTGCTTAAAAATGACACACCCTAATGAGTATAGTAAGCGTAATTTATTCCCTGTTGCAACCAGAAAAAGACATTAAACAGATAATATCTGATATCGAGGATGCAAATGTACAACTTCCTTAATATAATTTTGAAAGCCTTTTGTGCTTTTAGAGCATTAGGTTAGGTCAATTCTGAATTATAACCATAAAAAATCCTTTGAAACATGACTATCCCAAAGTAATTTGGCAACTACGTGGATAACACAATGAATGCTTGCAATTTTTTAAACAAAATTAGTCTAATTGTTGTTTTTGTTGCTTACAACATTGACAAATGGAGTAGAAAAATTAAACATTTGGAGATAAACTTACAACTTGATCTCTACCAATTATAATAATAGTTCGTGGGTATGAGCTGTAGGGCTTAGGGCTAGTCTGGATAGTGGCACAATAATGGAGGAAAATCATGAAGAATAGACACCATTGAAGTCTCAAGGGCAGATCTAACTAGGGTTGCCACCTTTTTAAAAAGTGGAAAAAGGACAATGACACTGACAGGGGCTCTGGTATACAAAAAGTCCTCATCCTTCTAGTGAACTTCTAAAAAAAGGTCATCGAGCTGAATGAAACAAATCCTACTAAGCTTCTAAAAAAAAAGGTTGTCAGGCTGAACGAACTCTTCGTCTTACCGAGCTTCTAAAAAAAAAAGTCCTCAACTTAAATGCGCTGTTAGTCAAACTCATATGTCCTAGAAATAGAGTTCATTTGCTTTAAAAAGGACATTTTAAGCTTTAAAAAGTCACAAGGACATTTTGCTTGAAAAAAGGACAGGTGGCAACCCTAGATCTTTAATTTATTGTAGAATAACAATAAGTAACAAACCTTTTATCGTAAATGTTTCACAGCCTTGAGTGTGTTCAGTTTTAAAAATATGCTTTAGATAATTATTTCTTAGCATGGTAGAAAAAATTCTTATAAAAACTAAATATATTTCTCGCAAAGACTCGTTCTCGTTCATATTAAAAATTTCTCTGGAATGTTTAAGCAGCCTTTTTAAGAATTGTTTCATATCTTGTCTATCATAGGATTTCAGTCTTACTTCTAGTAGGTTTATTTCATTTTTAATAAAATCGTATTGATAGGAACTACTAGAATAAGCTAATAACCTTAAAATAAAATGACCCGTTCGATCTAAAGAGCTGTCTTCTACCAAATACTGGAAATTAGATACTTCTGTGAGTTCTGTGTTAGAATTTTTTAAGTTTTTATAGCACAGCAGTCTTTCTTTTACACATTCTTCTAGCTTATGTAAATGTAAAATTCCCCTTGGTGGCTTCATATAAAATGTCATTTCAACAAATATTTACGTGTCCTTTTAGAATTTATTTTCAACCAAAAAAGCCATTGACGGTATATAAGCAAAAACAATAACAAAAAAGTGAGGTTAAAAATAATTAGGCATTCCAACGACCTGTCAAACAATAGGTCTTTTCCTTTCATTGCGTTCGGTTTGCCACGTTCCTTTAACTCCTTTAACACTTTTAACTCCAAACGACTCTTTTAGCGTTCGGTTTAGTCAGATTAGTGACAGTTTAACACGCTTAAATGTCATTTAAAAGCACCCTAAAATTTGTCCCGCTCCAGCCCCTGACTGACCGAACTCGCCTTTTGCATCGAAAGTGTAGCACTGAGCTACGTCACTTCTGAAAATATCGTTCCATCCATACAATTTGGATATATGGAACGATATTTTCAGAATTGGTGTAGCCCAGTGCTACACTTTCAATGCAAAGGAAAAGACCTAATTATGCCGCGTTTGAGAATCCACATCGGATGCATCTGAAATGTAAAAAATCTTTGATCACGTGATTCAGTATACGTAAATGTAATGGGACAGATGTGTCCGATGTGGATAAAAAAACGCTCGAGATGTAAAAAATGCATCCGATGTGGATTCTCAAACGCAGCATTAGGTGCCACTGGAAAATTCTTGTATATCTAAGGGGGTAGCGACATAATCTTGCAACTTGGACGCTATTTTTTATTAGCTATATCAAGCTAGCGGGCACTGTGGCGGGCACTGTGGCGGGCACTCTGTGGCGGCACCATTCAAGACCTGGCGGGTTTTTTGTAGCTTTTTTGTTACACTATTTGCAAATTTGTAGCCATGCCCAGGTCCGAAAAAACAGCGGATCCGCTAGCTTGAATTTCCATAAATTCCATAGTAGCGGCACAGATTCAGACCCAGCTGGTTTTTCGTAACTTTTTTGTAGCTTTTTTGTTACGCTAGTCTCCCTTTTGTAGCTTGTACTGAACCTGAGAAAAGCGCGGATCCGCTAGCTTAGCGGATATTTGTAGCGGCACCAGCCCGGACCCGGCTAATTTTTTGTAACTTTTTTGTAGCTTTTTTGTTACGCCTGTCTCCATTTCGTTGCGAGGCCTGAACGTGAGTAATAATCGTTTCTCCATGAGGTGAGAGAAAAATGCATTAATTTAAAATCAAGTTTCGGCCTCTACAAGTAATATGTGCAACTCGATAGTGTGACTATCTGTTGATAGATGGCACTAGTATTGCATTTCACGAATTATGGACATCTTCCACCTAATATATTTTTGAGAAATTTAGATATAATCTCAAAATCGGACATTTTCAACGGTATGTATATTAATTATTTGTCCGATATTAATGTAAAATAAATATTGGCAAGATTATTAAAATAGTTGTATGCCGGACGCCACTATTTTGCCGATCGGGTGTTTTCGGTTATTTTTAACCGACTTCAAAAAAGGAGGAGGTTCTCAATTCGTCGCGATATTTTTTTTTGTGTATGTTCAGCGATAATTCTTTAACACGGTGTCCGATTTCAATGATTATTTTTTTGTTAGAAAAGGGGTACTTCAGGGGTGGTCCCATATTTATTTGGTCAAAATCTAATAATTGGGTCCATGAGAAAATCCTCAAACTCTTCATTTTTTATGTATGTTTAGCGATAATGCTTTACCACCTTGTCCGATTTATATGATTCTTTTTTTGTTAGTAAAAGGGGGACCTCGGGGTGGTCCCATATATAAATTTGAAACGTTTTTGAAGTCGGTTTTTTTAAATTTATAATTTCTAATACTTACTGCTAAAAACTTACTGCTAACTTCACACCGGTGGTAATATAGCTACCAAGCAATTACCTATTCTCACTATATACAGGGTGTTCCATCTCAGACGAGCCACCCCGTATAGTTCTTATCCCATAGTAATTGGAAAAATTTTCCGAAACACGTCTGATGATTTTCTTTGGGGGACATCTGTTGAGGTATATATTTGAGGCTTGAACGAGCAACCCCCTATATGGGGGCGTTTCAACCCCTCAAAATTGATTAGGGAAGAGGGGTTGGGTGATACTTCATTTATAAGGTCTTGGAAGCCTCTTTACAACGGTGTATGAAAAAAATCACATTCTTAAAAAAAATCAATTGTTTTATCATGCTTACAATTGACATTGACTTCCATGCAATAATAAATTCTCTCGAACTAATAAATAAAAAAAAATCAAAACATTTTCTTATCTTGCCTTCATTTTTTTTGTTCTTCGATCATTTCATGCGTGATAAAACAATTAATTTTTTTTAAGAATGTGATTTTTTTCATACTCCGTTGTAAAGAGGCTTTCAAGACCTTACAAATGATGTATCACTCAACCCTTCGCTTCCCCATTCCATTTTGAGGGGTTGAAGCGCCCCCTCATAGGGGGTTGCTGGTTCAAGCCTCAAATATACGTCAAAAGATCGATGTCTCCCAAAGAAAATCATCCGACGTGTTTTGGGAAATTTTTCCAATTACTATATGGGATAAGAAATACGGGGTGGCTCGTCTGAGATGGAACACACTGTATAGTTGTGATCCGACAGAATTAAACACTGGTCCATAAATACTGCAAAACGATTGGTTAAGGAAATCATTCAAAAAATATGTAAGAATATTCTGGATTCAACAAAAGTATAAATACGTACATAAACAACACTAAAAAACATTTAAAAACAAATGTCCGATTTTGAGATTATATCTAAATTTCTCAAAAATATATTGGATGGAAGATGGCCATAATTCGTGAAATGCAATACTGGTGCCATCTATCAACAGATAGTCACACTATCGAGTTGCACATATTAGGTCTTTTCCTTTGCATCGAAAGTGTAGCACTGAGCTACACCACTTCTGAAAATATCGTTCCATTTATACAAATTGTATGGATGGAACGACATTTTCAGAAGTAACGTAGCTCAGTGCTACTATTGCTGCGTTTGAGAATCCACATCGGATGCATTTTTTACATCTCGAGCGTTTTTTTATCCACATCGGACACATCTGTCCCATTACATTTACGTATACTGAATCACGTGATCAAAGATTTACTACATCTCAGATGCATCCGATGTGGATTCTCAAACGCGGCAACTGTCGATGCAAAGGAAAAGACCTAATATTTGTAGTGGCCGAAACTTGATTTTAAATTAACGAACTTTTCTCTCACGCTCATGGAGAAACGATTATTACTCACGTTCAGGCCTCGCAACGAAATGGAGACAGGCGTAACAAAAAAGCTACAAAAAAGTTACAAAAAATGAGCCTGGTCCGAGCTGGTGCCGCTACAAATATCCGCTAAGCTAGCGGATTCGCGCTTTTCTCAGGTTCAGTACAAGCTACAAAAGGGAGACTAGCGTAACAAAAAAGCTACAAAAAAGTTACGAAAAACCAGCTGGGTCTGAATCTGTGCCGCTACTATGGAATTTATGGAAATTCAAGCTAGCGGATCCGCTGTTTTTTCGGACCTGGGCAAAGCTACAAATTCGCAAATAGCGTAACAAAAAAGCTACAAAAAAGCTACAAAAAACCCACCAGCAGGGTTATTCTACTAAATTTTTAGCCCGGCTACAAGTTGGATTTTGGCTTGAACTTTATATGTTCCTAACTTCAAAATCCAACTTGTAGCCGGGCTATAAACTTTTAGCCGGGCTATAAATTTAGTAGAATAACCCTGCAGGTCTTGTATGGTGCCGCCACAGAGTGCCCGCTAGCTTGATAGAGCCATTTTTATTCGAAGTAGTATTCGCCAAGCCTGTCAATTTATGAAGAAATGTATACGTGGGTTTTTTAAATATTATTTTTATTGTGTTTGACATAAAATATTTAAATGTTATCCATTATTCATGATTTTACGTAAAGTAGATAGAATACACCGTATGTCGCCACCCTTAGATATACCAAACCTTCCCAATGGCAATTCATTTGTTTGGAATGCCCAATGCAGTAAAATGTCATTATGCTTAATATATCGCCACCGGAAAAATACTGGTGCGGATAAGATTACATCAGTAGTAGGCATAATTTTAATTTGAAATCCCACAAGGATGCCGGACTATATTATCTAAATAGTCATATTTTAATGTTATATACTGTACCTACTATTTAAGTATACAAATTTTAAGGCCGGTAATAAATTATTTTTCTTATTTAATATCCAATATATGGTGTCAAGACAATCGGCTATCCAACACATTCCAATACGTTTTGCACAAATGTGAAAACTACAGAGAATTAGCATTAGAGCGAACAGGAAATTAATAATATCAGCGGTGCTATTTTATACGGCCCTGCCAACGTTAGAACGCTGTCGAACTGTGTATAATCTGGCAACGCTGATATTATTCGTTTCCTGCCGGACTCCAATGTTAACTCTCCTTAGTTTTCACATGCATATTGGAAAATTTTCAGTGGCCGACACTGCATAAGTATTTTTACAAGAATAAAAAACCTTATGAAAGCTCACCTCTTGTTGTTTTCAAATTAGGTATATGTTACTTCTCAAATAATAGAGCATTTTTACTAAAAATCTAAGCTTTTTCTTATTAACGATGAATTTGTCTATTTTTCATGGACATAAGTAGAATAGTAGTATATTGTACAATAATAATTTTCAAAGTAGGGACACAGAAGGTATTATTTGGATTGCACATAATAGCTATTTATGAAAACAGTTACGAAATGCTTTATTTCGTAATGTGTTACATACAATATTTTTTCTAATTTTGACTAGATTATTTATAAAATTGTGTTTTGGTAAAATATTACTGATGACATATAGGCAACCAATATTACTACTTTCTGGTATTGTTAATTCCATATGATTAACTTCTTTCTTTTATTGAAAAATAGAAAATCATTTTCATATTCTCAACGACATTGTAGTGTGTTTATATTGCTAGTTAAAGTTAAGTATTTATATTTCAATAAAGTGGGTTATTTGACGTGTATTATATTATTGTAATTATTTTGTACTGATTTAGAATGGAAAATAAGGACCAAACGAAATCAACATTATTACTAGGTTGTAAGTTTATTTAAATTCTATTTTTATAAGTCAACTTGTCCTTATTTAATATACTATAATAGATTACGAAATAACAAGAAATCAAGATAATTATTAGGCATT